TTTCCTCACTCCCCTCCTTAATTTTTTGGGCAGAATTTTTCATTTGCTAGAACATGAACTGAAGATATGAATTTAACCCTTTATTATCAAGTACTAAATTCTACTTTTTCTGATAATGTTATTATTTCAATGCTATCACTCAGAAAGTCTACTGACAGCTTTGAAAGAACACAATGACATTAAAATAAGGCTTTATGTACAAAATGTTCAATCTGAAGTTGAATGTTCCATGCATATTTTTGTTTGAAAGGATGAAACGAACAAAAACAACTATGAAAATTAAAATCAACTTGCTCTACAGATCTATCTGGATTACGCTCAGCCAAATGTTGATATCATCTTGGATAAAAATGTAAACATGACAAAGTTTGTTTTTCAGTCAATAAGTCTTGTGGGGAAAAGAAAAAGCTTTGAATTGCTAACAACTAAAAACAGTTTTTAATTTTAAGCTGGGTCGGCAAACTTTTTCTATAAAGAAACAGTAAATATTTTTAAGCTTTGTGGGACACATATGGTCTCTGTTGCGTATTTTTCTCTGTTGTTTGATTTTTTTAATATCCCTTAAACTATGTAAAAACCATTCTTAGCTTGTGACTGCAAAAAGCAGGCTGCAGGCCACATTTGGCCTGTGGGCAACAGTTTGTCAACCCCTGATTTTGAGAAAAGCGAATCCAAGGGAAAAAAAAAATGCAGCTTTACAGAGCAAAACATGCAAAAGCGCTCTGGTACGACCAGGCTGTGACAATAACCAGCACAGCATTATTAATATGATTTCATTAGTTATTTTGCACATGGAAGGAGTTTTAATGACAGGATGCTCTTTGATCTCCTAACCTGAAACCACAGACGCAGAAAGGGCAAAGGCCAGCTACAGCGCGCTGAGCTATCCCTGTGTCTACCCCTATAGCAGCCTGAGTCATTACATGAGCATTTACTATTTCCCTGACCAGGACCGGCTAATCAAAGACAGAACATTTAACTTTCTCCACATAAAAGCCTATGGGCAAAATCTAATTCCTTCCTAGAAAAGGTGCTGACAAATTTATGGAGATGGTCATACTGATCAGAAATAGCAGCAACTTGATTGTGAAAAGTGACACAGGCTTGGATGTGGGGTTCACTGGGGGCTCTGCTAAATCAGCTGTGTGATCTTGACAATGTCAACTTAACCTTAGCTTTCTTATTTATAAAATTAGGACAGGAGCATAAAGTAGATAATCTCTAAGACTGCTTCTGCTGTCAAACTATGACTATACTGAAATGAAACCACTCAAGAAATAGCCTAACAGGAAGATGGTGGGGGTGGAGAGGACAGGGGAAAGACAGCAAAGGGAAGAAGCGTAGACCATCCTATTAGAGGACAGGCGCTGGTTTTCTTTTTCTGCTACCAGCACCTTATTCAGTACAGGCTATTCCAAGATGTCAACATGCCCTTGTACCAATATTAAAATGCACCCATATCCCCTAGGAAATATACTACATAGCTAACTGTATAGCTGTTCCTCGTCGTAATGTTACATTTTATAGATATTTAATTAAACATTAATTATAATTATGTAAAGGGTTTGGGGAAGTCAATCAAACTTTTCTTCAGTTCTCAAACATTAATACTTGAACTGAAAGGCGAGTCGTTCCTAGGCACTGGGCCCATAATTTCAAACAGATAAAACATCCCTACTCAATAGTTGACAAATGTTACGTGACTAATATACTGGAAGATTCCCAGTAAGTAAACTGAAAGAAAATGTACCCTTTACCACCCAAAGAACAAAAAAGGAAATGAGGGGAGCCAGGATATCCAAGAAGACAGCAGAACCTTAGAAAAGTAAGACGAAAGTATCTGTGAGACAACTGTATCTGTAATGAAAAATGACTAATGATCTCCTTCCTTTCCTGACCACAGAAGCCCTATTAAAAGTGTCTAAAGAAGGTAGACACCCTTTTTAAAAACTACTTAAAGTTTGACAAACCAAAACTGAGTCTTAAAATGTACCCTCATGAGAAGAAACAGGCATGGGGTATACATATCTCCCAAACACACATGCACACAATCTCCACGTGTGAAGAAATGGATCTTTTCTGTGACGTAGACCTTATCAAGTTTTGTCAGCAGTGCTGTTGCAGACCTTGTCAAAATCCAGTCATAATAACCCAGGAACTTACATACTTAGGTACTTCGAGAAATTACGGCTCGAGAAAGATGGATCACTAACTCTCTCCTCAACAACTGCAGATCGCCTGGGGATGGGAGGCGGGTGTTGAGGGAGTGGGATGTTGCCGCCAGACGTGTGGGCACTGCAAGTCTATGTTTGTGGTCAACGGAAAGTATGTGGAAATTTTTACTAGGATGGTATAAACACTCACCTCAGTTTCCTAACTTAATTCCAACTGCAAAGCATTAGGTTTCAGGTATATAAATTCTTCTACTGTTTGAAGACAGTGTGCTACCACTTCCTGCCGGGGCTCTGCAGCTAAATAAGAGGCATGGAAGATTTCCCCTTCCTCCCTGTCAACTGAAGATACAGCTCATAGCCTCTTTTTACCACATCCACCCCACAGAAAATACAAACACTAAGATTATTCATGAGATTCATCTCATTTAACTGTCTACCACCTATTCTAAACAGCTTCAGGACACTTTTTTTCATGGCTTAATAGCTGCAACCCTCCACTGAACTGAATTTCAATTTTAAAAAAATCCATGCAAGATCCTAATCCTTCAGAATGAAAAGTAATTTTTAAAAGCTACTATTGTCAACGGAAGTAGCCACCCTCACAGGAAATGTGGGACAAGAATTAAGGCAAAAAGGGGAAAACTAATAAAACTTAGAAACAAGCAAAGGTCATCCAAGGAGCTTAAAAGAAATAGCACCCGTGAGACTCCCTCACTTTCAAAGCAAGAGAATGCTTCTGGAGGGTCACACATAGAGCAGACTAAAGACCACCCACTCAAGCTGTCAGAAATTGTCCTTTACCAACTGGACTGCAGCATGCAAGCAACGATGTAAAAGGAGCCCTGGTTGGGTAGCTCAGTTGGTTTGAGTGTTGTCCCAATATGAAAGGGTTACAGATTCCATTCCTGGTCACGGCACATATAGGAATCAGCCAATGAATGCCCAACTGGGTGGAACAACAAATTGATGTTCTCTCTCTCTCCCCTCCTCTCTCTCTCTAAAATCAATAAATTAAAACAAACAAAGAAAAACAATGTAGAAGGGTTACTCAGGGTTTTGAAATTAGTACCAACTTCAAAATTAATGCCCTTTAGCTGCTGTAACAGCTCCAGCCAAATCTCTTAGGAATATACTTGAGACATGACATTTAAAATCTGCTTCCTCAGAAAAGAAAAAGTCCCACTCAAGAATGCCTGCCAAGAACTTGCAACTCAAACTTCCCTAAGCCCAGAGACATCCTAACACCCGAGAGGTTTCAGACCAGTCAGTCCACATGAAGGAGGCCAGAACAAATGAACGAACCACACTCTCCTAGTACTTGATTTGAAAACCACTCTATAACCAAATATTCTTTTTAAAAAGAAAATGATAAATTATCCTTAAAACATACAAATAATCAAATACACTTATTACCATAGCACGAGTTCCTTATAATAACCCCAAAAATTCATGGTGAAATAGGCCATAAGTACAATTTGAAAGGTGCTCAAGTGAGCTACTCTTAGAAGCCATAAACACCACCCAGACAACCAAAAGCAAAGATTGTTAAGGTACTTAATTAACTGCAGCTTTTTAACAAGGAAAATGAAGTTGTATATTTTCATTTAAGCTGGGAGCTTAAAACCAGCTTTGATTTCCTCTTCAGTTTATAGTAAAAGAACTTGTTCCCTACACAAAATCTTGCAGTACAAAAGTAGGAGGACAGCTCCCAGCCAAGATCAGAAAACACTCAATCAATGGAAAGTATTGTATGGTGTGATTCATTGAGCAACTAATAATTAAAATCAAAGCGAAATACACAGGAAGGCAGGCAGATTCCTCAGCTGAGAAGTTATTAAACGTTCAAGCCCAAGAATTTCATAAACTGAAAAGTGTTGCTTTGCAGGAGATGGTAGTTAAAAAGTGATATTTTCCTGACCACACCATTCCCCAAAGTCCCCAATTCTCTTAATACTGGTAACACTCACAGAACATTACTGCTCCACAGACATCATCCTATCATTAGTCACTTCTCCTCTTTCTCCAGCACTTGATCCAAAAAGGAAGGAGAGAAAATGGTAACAGTGCTCCCGGTTACTGAAGAAAGTACTGCTTTCCATTTCCTCTCCTTTTCCCATCTTCTGTGTCTTCGGTGCTCAAACTCTGTACTGTATTTCCTGCTTCCTTTTTCCGTTTTTATCTCACACCCAGCTCTCCTTCACTTTCTCCACCAAGTACCCTCATTGTATCCTCCCTCTGGTCCCCTGAACTCTTCTACCTACAGTTTTCTTCTGTCCCCTACTATGACATCTCTGTGCAGACTTCTTGTGCCCCTAGTCCCTCACTTCCTGATCACTTATTCCCCTGAATTCTCTTCCCATTGCTGGATTATCACCATTCTTGTCCCTTGTGTCCTCTGTCCCTTTACTTCACGTCCCTCGCATCCCCCCAACCCTTCATTTCCCCCTTCACATTTCCTTCCTTTTTCCTGTCTTTTAATCCATTTTACACCCACTGTGCCTTTCTCTCTCTCCGTGAGATTTCTTGTGCTCCCCCCCACACACACAGTGTCCCTCTAAGACCCTTCCCTGTCAGCCCCCAGTCCTCTCATTTCCCTTAATATCCTCAGTTCTTGTTCCTCCGGTTCCCCTTCCTCGTCCTTTGCCCCCTCGCATCTCAGCCCGCCCCTCTCCTTCATGCCTTTACCCTCTCCCACTGCCCTCGCCGTCCCGCTGTCTCCGGGGTCCTATCTCTAGGGCCCTCAAAACCTCCCCCGTCCCCTCTCCAAGGCCCCCTCGCAACCGCCCCTTATTCACTCCCCGTCGCTGGCCGCGGCCCCTCCCTCACCGATGGTGGAGATGAAGGTGGTGTTGAAGGCGTCCTCCGAAAAGCGAAAAAGGAGGCAGGTCTTGCCCACCCCCGAGTCGCCGATCAGCAGCAGCTTGAACAGATAGTCGTACGTCTTCGCCATCTTCTCGCTCCGGCCCTCTGACCGGGGAGCGAGAACAGTGGCGGAGCAAGGCGGGGAGGGGGCCGCGGACGGGGGGGCGTGCCCGCCCAGCCGCTGCTACTAGCCCCGCCCTTAGCCCCGCCCCTTCCCTTGGAGAAGGCCTGCGCGCCCCGCCCCGCGTGGCCAATCCGCGGAGGTTTTGTCATCGCTGCCCCGCGCCCCCGGGGCTTCATGGAACTTGTAGTTCCTTCGAGGAGTTTCGGGCGTGCCTGGTGGTGGCAGTAAGGACTGCCCCAGAGGATAAAAGGAGATCCCCGCCCAGAGGTGCGGGGTGATCAGGTGCACTAGGCATTTCCATCCAAACTAGGAAGGAAGACCAGGTTTCGAACTCTGCAATTCGCGCCGCGGATACTTCGCCATTTCTTTGTGTGCGGGCGCCTTCCAAATACAGGACCTTGGAATCTGAGTCCCGCAGTTCCTGCATCTCTTCCGCCAGGACCCAAAACTGAAATGCTTTCTTTCCAAATCGCTGATGTGGCGCAGCCCATAGATTATCTGCAGTGCATTATCTGGCTTCTCCAGTTCCTGTCCTGCACTACCTCAAAGCCCCCTCCAGCAGCCCCTAAGTTACAGAGCTGGAAAAAAATGATTGTCCTTCTAACTTGAACCACACTCCTGTTCTCTTCTTCAGGCCTCCAGGTCAGAGCCAAATACGATGGGTATTTTAAAGGATCTTCTATGCCAGGGATGTCCAACCCACAACATAGACTATGCAGACTGCTCCCCTGCCCCCACAGGAGGATAGATTTTAAAAAAAAAAAGGTATTGAAAATATTAAGGGTGTGCTACATGTCTGTGCTCTTTAAGAATTACAAGCATCATGTGAGGCAGGAATTATAACCATGGGACTCTAGAGACTAAGAGGGATTTCGTCTTAGCTTAGCTGCTTAACTGCACAGAGGCAGGCTCTCTGCACCTCGGTTTTTCTCGTCTGTAAAATGGGTATAAAACTAGCTGTTTCATAGGATTGTAGGGAAAGTTAAGTGAGATACCGAATGTGAAAGCACTTTGAAATTCGCAAGGCATTGTAGAAATGTTAGTGGTGGTGGCTACCTTCTTCAAACCTCTAAGGCAGTCTATCATTTAACAGATGGCAAATGAAGGGGGGGAAATTCCCAATTTAATCTTTTATTTCTTAGACTATTCCTTATTTTTGTGGAGGTACTATTGTTCAGGCCTCTTTTATGCGCAAGTAGCAGAAACCCAACCAGATCAAGCTCTCTGAAAGGAGCGTTCACTGGTTCAGGTAAAGCTGAAGGACAAGTATATAGCAAGGAGGTCTGGGACCAGAAGCTCCACCCAGCCAGGGCTCCCATTCTCTCCTCTGTTCTCCTCCCTTCTCAGTTTTAATTCTAATATGTCAAATACCAACAGATAAGACTCACAGGAACAAGAGCTCTTTAGAATCCTCAATTTTCTTTTTAAGATTTTATTTATTTATTTTTAGTGGGAGGAAGGGAGAAAGAGAGGAAGAGAAACATCAATGTGTGGTTGCCTCTTGCGTGCCTACTTCTGGGGACCTGGCCCACAACCCAAGCATGTGCTCTAGACTGGAAATTAAACCAGCAACCATTTGGTTCACAGGCCGGCACTCAGTCCACTGAACCACACCAGCCAGGGTGAGTCCTCAATAATTTTTAAGAGGATAAAGGGGTCCTGAGGCCAAAATATTTGAGAAATATTGGTCTAGGCATTTCCTTAGATCTAAAGAAACACCTTCTGGTTGGTTGGAGGAGGTTATTAAGGGAACCACTGGATTCAACCGTCAGTGGAATAATGAAAAAATTTGGATAGCTAATTGAACAAGAGAGCAGGCTTTTATAAAACACATCTTAAGTGCTTTGTGACTTCATGTACAATGACAGTGATATTACATTCTTAGTCTTGGTATGGAAGAAGATTCAGTAGGCCCCAGTATTGGCCTTTCCATTCTATGTGGAAAGAAGGTGAAAAGTATCATTAATTCACACTTTTTGATCATACATTACCCAGAGGGTTGCCGCTAATCTTATGTCTAATTCCTAGAACCCACTTGATGGAAACAAAGTTCTAAGGAGGTCAAAGTCACAGTTTTCTGCCACCTAATGAGAAGGGATTCTGCCCTTTGGCACAGGTTGAGCCTCCTTGCCCCAGCCAGTTCTTGGGCAAGTCTGTGAACTTGACATCAGCCAAGGCTGAACAAATGTGGACAGCTCAGTTCTACACCTGCATTTTTATTCTGGAAAAGAAGAAAAGAAAATCTGCAAAAGCCAGTTGGATCTTCTTTCTTTTAAAAATGTGTGCTGATTAAAGTAACTTTTAGTCGCATTCTCTTTTTGTGCTAATAAGAACATGCCGATGTGGTAAAGATGTTAAGTTCAGAAGAGAAGTTATAGTTAGGAATTTTAAAGTCCCTAAATTTCCTTAGGGGAATTTTGTTAATTGATGGGAAGTTTTTTTAATTCTGTTTTATTTTCACTTCCCCGGTTTCTCTCTACCAAGCATCTATAACATTGGGACTTTCTAGCAGGTAACTATGCACACCACTGTTGAACCACTCAAGCATTTTGAGATATTGACATTACTTCAAGAAAAATCCAATTTTTTTCTTTAAGCATTGTTATTTTTCATATTTTGTACAATAATATATTACTTAGAGATGTGATTTTGGTGGTAGTAGCAGTGTTACTGAATCAAGGCCTTTTGCTGAAAGGACTGGATGATATATTTGTAGATCTGAGAGTACTACAGGTAACATGCTGCTGGTTGCCACTTTCTTTCTCCAAGTGGCATCTGTAGATCCTTTTTAAAGGGAAATTATATCACTATTCTTTTGCCAGTTACCCAAACCCACCCTTGAAATGCTACATCATCACAGAGCACTAGGCAGACCGGAACATTCCATTTGACCCTGAAAATGTTTATTGAAGTTTTTGGATGTGGCAGCTTGACTTACAGAAATCTAGATATTCAAGAAGTGTACCCTCTGTCATGAGGATGTCTAGATTTTGTCAGGCCAGCACTCTTTCTTCCTGCTTTTGGGAAGATGCTTCTTCCCCACTGGTGATTATGAATCATGGTACTTTACTCCTCCAGCCACAGAGGTGAGCATATGACCAGGCTGGGTCCATTTGAGTTCTTCCCTGTGACTTTTCTAATGATGCTGAAAGGAAGTCTGTCTGGTGTGAGGTCTGTGTGAACTCTTGGCTTTGATCAGAACTTTAGTTCATTTTTCTTTATTCTCTTGTTGCTGCCTTTCTCAATATGCTTAGTTTGTCATCAGGCTAGCTTTCCTCATGGTAGCAGGCAGGACTGCCATGTTGCAAATTCCAAAGACATTATTCACTTCTTACAATAATTTATTCACCTTAAGGGTCAAAGACCTCCAAGAATCTACAAACATACTCCTGAAGGTCTATGTGTTCTCTAGGCAAAGTTTCTAATTAATTCAAGCTTTCTTTAACTGGTTTAAACTGTTCCATGACACTTGATTGCGAGAAATGTTACCTTTCTTAATTGCTTAAATGAAATTATATATGGCTGAGTCTCCTTCCTGTCAAAGGCTGACACATTTGGTAGTGATCATTATTGGGACGTTTCCTCCCCTCAGTTTTATAGTACAAGAATCCAGGCGCTTACGTGGTCTTGAAAAATTAGGGGCAAAGCATCCCCTGCCCATCAGTCTGCACCCATCAGTATTGACACTTCTGTCCAACTACTCTCGAGTCCTGGTTCTCTGCCATCTGTTGAACACAGCTGTCCCGGTGGGCTACAAAGATGTCCTTCATTGTGATTATTTTCATGGACTGATGACTCAGCCATTGAATAAGTTGTCTCTCTGTGGTCTAATAATAGTTTGTGTACTTCTTTGTCTTCTCCCTTAAAACTTGAGCTGACTGAGGAAAGGCACATTGCTAATTTCTCGCTTTGTTCCCAGCATGCCTAGTATGATGCCTTACACATAAGTAGGTGCTCAATTGAGTTGTTCAATGCATGAACGTCTGAATATCATGCGAGCCATCTAGGTATTTTAAAAACATCTGGGACACCTTCAGTTTATTATTTGCTACAAGACCTAGGTATTTTTGGCCTCACCAATACTCTCTTGGTTGTACTCTAGCCTTGTATTTATGTTCTTCATTCTCTAAGTATATTATTCATTGTTGTATTCAAGAACTTAGTGTGATTATATGTTATTTCTCTAGCTTGTCACTATCATTGAATGATAACTCCTCAAAATGCCAACTTCTCTTTATCATCTATGTGTCATCCAAAAATATGCTATTTGTTTAATAATATTCTAGTGGGATAATTCTACAATTATTTTTATCAGAAAGGGACTAACTATACTCTTTCCACCCACTGATGTTTCCTGAGCAATCACTGGATGAATAATGTCCACTCAAACAAATATTCATTAAGCTCACTATAAAACCAATGCAGCAAGGCAACCTGGAGGATACAGAGAGATCTATCATGTATCCTCCAGGATACATGCCCTCAGTTTGCTTCCCAGCTAATTGAGGAAAGGACACACAAGTGAAAAGTTTAATGATAAACAGGAGGCAGATATTTGGCTGGTAAATACTTCATTTATTCTGGTGGGTTGGGTGTCTATTCTGATGGGTTGGTTTTAATTAGGATTAATTCAGCATCCATTCTGATTGGTTGGGTGTCCATTTTGATTATTTGCACATACATTCTGATTGGTCAGATTTCCAATCTGATTGATTAAATATTTGTGCAAAACTGACAGTAAAATATTTTGCATATCACCACTGGATATAAAAGTTAAATAAAAATGATATGACAATACAAAAAAATGCTACATGAAAGTACAGTAGCCATTTGATCAACAAATCTCTATAAAGGTAGCTTCTTATAACAAAGTCAGCAAGGTGCAGAGGGGATGAGAGGACAATCTGCGTCCCTCAGACCTGGGTTAATGAACATAACTAAATGGGAGACCATCTATGGCACGGGCCCCTAGAAGTAGGCAAAGGCCAGGGTCAATGCCCAGATGAAGGCAAAACTCTTTTCTTGGGAGTTGAGAACAGATACCTAATCACCTATGATA